GTGTGTACAGGTGTGTGTGTGTGTGTAGATGTGTGTGTACAGGTGTGTACAGGTGTGTGTGTACAGGTGTGTATGTACAGGTGTGTACAGGTGTGTGTACAGGTGTGTGTGTGTACAGGTGTGTGTGTACAGGTGTGTGTGTACAGGTGTGTGTAGGTGTGTGTGTGTAGATGTGTGTGTGTACAGGTGTGTGTGTGTACAGGTGTGTGTGTACAGGTGTGTGTGTAGGGGTGTGTGTACAGGTGTGCACAGGTGTGTACAGGTGTGTGTGTGTCTCTACCGACAGGTGTGTGTGTACAGGTGAGTGTGTGTGTACAGGTGTGTGTGTGTGTACAGGTGTGTGTAGGTGTGTGTATGTACAGGTGTGTACAGGTGTGTACAGGTGTGTGTACAGGTGTGTTTGTGTGTGTGTGTAGGTGTGTGTGTGTGTACAGGTGTGTGTGTGTGTACAGGTGTTTGTGTGTACAGGTGTGTACAGGTGTGTACAGGTGTGTGTATGTGCACAGGTGTGTGTGTGTGTACAGGTGTGTTTAGGTGTGTGTACAGGTGTGTACAGGTGAGTCTCTACCGACAGGTGTACACGTGCTCTGTGTGTGTACAGGTGTGTGTGTGTGTACAGGTGTGTGTGTGTGTGTACAGGTGTGTGTGTGTACAGGTGTGTGTGTGTACAGGTAGGTGTGTGTACAGGTGTGTGTGTGTACAGGTAGGTGTGTGTAGGTGTGTGTGTATGTACAGGTGTGTTTGTGTGTGTAAACGGGTGTGTGTGTAGGTGTGTGTACAGGTGTGTGTACAGGTGTGTTTGTGTACAGGTGTGTGTGTACAGGTGTGTACAGGTGTGTGTGTGTCTCTACCGACAGGTGTGTGTGTACAGGTGTGTAGGTGTGTGTGTACAGGTGTGTGTGTGTACAGGTGTGTGTACAGGTGTGTGTGTACAGGTGTGTACAGGTGTGTACAGGTGTATGTACAGGTGAGTCTACCGACAGGTGTACACGTGCTCTGTGCGCCTGCACTGCCGACAGCGCACTGCACAGCACCAGCGGTTTGTGTGTACAGGTGTGTGTGTGTGTACAGGTGTGTGTACAGGTGTGTGTGTGTACAGGTGTGTGTGTACAGGTGTGTGTGTACAGGTGTGTGTGTGTACAGGTGTGTGTGTGTACAGGTGTGTGTGTGTACAGGTGTGTACAGGTGTGTGTGTACAGGTGTGTGTGTACAGGTGTGTGTGTGTACAGGTGTGTGTGTGTACAGGTGTGTGTGTGTGTGTACAGGTGTGTACAGGTGTGTGTGTACAGGTGTGTACAGGTGTGTGTGTGTACAGGTGTGTGTGTGTACAGGTGTGTGTACAGGTGTGTGTACAGGTGTGTGTGTACAGGTGTGTGTGTACAGGTGTGTGTGTGTGTGTACAGGTGTGTGTGTACGTGTGTGTGTAGGTGTGTGTGTGTACAGGTGTGTGTGTGTACAGGTGTGTGTACAGGTGTGTGTACAGGTGTGTGTGTGTACAGGTGTGTACAGGTGTGTACAGGTAGGTGTGTACAGGTGTGTGTGTACAGGTGTGTGTGTGTACAGGTGTGTACAGGTGTGTGTGTGTGTACAGGTGTGTACAGGTGTGTGTGTGTTTACAGGTGTGTGTGTACAGGTGTGTGTACAGGTGTGTACAGGTGTGTGTGTGTGTATAGGTGTGTACAGGTGTGTGGGGAGCGATAGTGTAGCGGTTAGCACGCTGCGCTATGAACCTGGCGACCCGGGTTCGATTCCCGCTCACGGCCAACACCAGTGACGATTATCTGAACCGGTCCCGGGCCTCCCCTAGGTCGACTCAGCCTCAAATGAGTACCTGGTGCGGTGTGTAAACATTGCCACTAGGGAGACAAAGGCGGTCGGGCGTGGTGCTGGCCACCCACCCCCTCGTGTACCGTTCCGGCCTTTATAGGTGCTCGCTAACAGCACTTGCCCCTACAGTCTGTTAAGGCTATATGGGGGATCTTTTTTTTTGTACAGGTGTGTACAGGTGTGTACAGGTGAGTCTACCGACAGGTGTACACGTGCTCTGCACGCCTGCACTGCCGACAGCGCACGGCACAGCACCAGTGGTGTGTGTACAGGTGTGTGTGTGTACAGGTGTGTGTGTGTACAGGTGTGTGTGTGTGTACAGGTGTGTACAGGTGTGTACAGGTGTGTGTACAGGTGTGTGTGTACAGATGTGTACAGGTGTGTGTGTACAGGTGTGTAGAGGTGTGTGTGTACAGGTGTGTGTGTACACACACACCTAACAACTACAGAGGCATCTCACTCCTCAGTGTGCCGGGAAAGGTCCTGGCAAGGATTATTCAGCATCGCCTTGCCAGACACGCTGAGGAGAGGCTTGCGGAGCCCCAATGCGGTTTCAGGAAAGGGCGGTCCTGCACAGATGCCATATTTTCTGTCCGTCTGCCACAGCAGAGGTGTAGGGAATTCCAACAAGACCTACATCTCTGCTTTATTGACCTGGTCAAGGCCTATGATACCATCAGTAGGCCTGGGCTCTGGGTCGTTCTTCGTGCTTTTGGAGTACCTGACCCTCTGCTCACGATCATTAAGGACCTTCATGATGGTGAGCAGGCCCGGGTAAAACTACGTGGCCGGGAGTCAGAGCCATTCCCTGTACACCTTGGGGTGCGACAGGGATGTCCTCTGGCTCCCACATTATTTAACATCTATTTTGACCACGTAGTTCGTGAAGCCTTCAATAGCTGTACCGGGGGAATCTCCATATGGTACAGATATAATGGGAGGCTAATCGATGCCCGGGTGCGGTCAAGGGATGGCTCCCTATCGCTCAACCACGTTATGTATGCTGATGATTTGGTAATAGCTGCTCAGTCAGAGGAGGAGTTGGAGACGCTGCTGCTGAGACTGGAGCGTGCCACTAAGAGGTGGGGCCTTACCATCAGCCCCACCAAAACTAAGCACCTGCCTGGGTATTTTGTACCATCGGACACTCCACCCCCACAACTCCCAATCGGTGATGGGGCAGTTGTGGAGAGAGTGGAGAGTTTCCCATACCTGGGCAGTGTGCTTATGACTGGCTCCAGTTTAACAGCAGAGGTCTCACTCCGAATCAGTCGAGCGGCAATATCTTTTCATCGGTTGCATAACGCTGTGTGGAAGCTACCTGGTCTGTCGCTCCGCACTAAGCTTCAGGTCTTCTCGGCCACGGTCATTCCCTCCCTTCTCTACGCTTGCGAAACGTGGACCCCCCTAATGGAACATCTTCGCCGGTTAGAAACATTTAGGCTGGCCTGCCTACGATCCATCCTGGGTTTAACCAGACTGGATTGTGTGAGGAGCTCAAAAATCCTTGAAAGATCTGGGCAGGGTCCCATCGGTGAGCTCCTCCGGCAGGCAAGGCTGCGATGGCTGGGTCATGTAGCCCGCATGCCCAGCCACCGCATGCCGAAACAGCTTTTGTTTGGCCGGGTTGAGGGGGGTAAGCGGGCGCGGCACGGGCTAGAGAAGAGATGGAGTGATGTGGTACAGGAGGACGTGGAGCTGAGTGGACTTGCCGATGACTGGTACCAGCGGTGTCAAGATCGGCCTCTGTGGAGGAGGCTCGTGAAGGATGCTACTGGGCAGTTGGAGGCAGTCGCCCTCCAACAACAACGGAGGGCGGAGGAGCGACGCTCACAACAACGAGCGGAGCGCCGGGTGGCTAAAGCACAGCAGGTTGGCACAGTAGGGGGCACAGGTGGTGCATCAGCCAGTCATCTCAGTCAGTCGACCCGTGGCACCTGGGTCTGCCCCGTGACCTCCTGCCAGCGGGCGTTCGACACTTCACGTGGCCTCAGGGTGCACATAGCCTGGCACAAGCGTCGTGGTGACGTCATCGCCACTTAGTGGCGAATGGCGGTTGTTGTTGTTGTTGTACAGGTGTGTACAGGTGTGTGTGTGTACAGGTGTGTAGAGGTGTGTGTGTACAGGTGAGTCTCTACCGACAGGTGTGTGTACAGGTGTGTGTGTGTGTGTACAGGTGAGTCTCTACCGACAGGTGTGTGTGTACAGGTGTGTACAGGTGAGTCTACCGACAGGTGTACACGTGCTCCGTGCGCCTGCACTGCCGACAGCGCACGGCACAGCACCAGCGGTGTGTGTACAGGTGTGTGTGTGTGTACAGGTGTGTGTACAGGTGTGTGTGTGTACAGGTGTGTGTGTACAGGTGTGTGTGTACAGGTGTGTGTACAGGTGTGTAGGTGTGTACAGGTGTGTGTGTACAGGTGTGTGTGTACAGGTGTGTGTGTGTACAGGTGTGTGTGTGTACAGGTGTGTGTGTGTACAGGTGTGTACAGGTGTGTGTGTACAGGTGTGTACAGGTGTGTGTGTACAGGTGTGTGTACAGGTGTGTGTGTGTGTACAGGTGTGTGTGTGTACAGGTGTGTGTGTACAGGTGTGTGTACAGGTGTGTGTACAGGTGTGTGTGTGTGTACAGGTGTGCGTGTGTGTACAGGTGTGTGTGTGTGTACAGGTGTGTGTGTGTGTAGGTGTTTACAGGTGTCTGTGTGTGTACAGGTGTGTGTACAGGTGAGTCCCTACCGACAGGTGTGTGTTTGTGTACAGGTGTGTGTGTGTACAGGTGTGTGTACAGGTGTGTGTACAGGTGTGTGTGTGTGTACAGGTGTGTGTGTGTACAGGTGTGTGTGTACAGGTGTGTACAGGTGTGTGTGTGTACAGGTGTGTGTGTGTACATGTGTGTGTGTGTGTAGGGGGAGCGATAGTGTAGCGGTTAGCGCGCTGCGCTATGAACCTGGCGACCCGGGTTCGATTCCCGCTCACGGCCAACACCAGTGACGATTATCTGAACCGGTCCCGCGCCTCCCCTAGGTCGACTCAGCCTCAAAATGAGTACCTGGTGCGGTGTGTAAATATCGCCACTGGGGAGACAAAGGCGGTCGGGCGTGGTGCTGGCCCCCCACCCCCTCGTGTACCGTTCCGGCCTTCATAGGTGCTCGCTAACAGCACTTGCCCCTACAGTCTGTTAAGGCTATATGGGGGATCTTTGTTGCTTTGTGTGTACAGGTGAGTCTACCGGCAGGTGTACACGTGCTCCGTGCGCCTGCACTGCCGACATCGCACTGCACAGCACCAGCGGTGTGTGTGTACAGGTGTGTACAGGTGTGTGTGTACAGGTGTGTGTGTACAGGTGTGTGTGTACAGGTGTGTGTGTACAGGTGTGTACAGGTGTGTGTGTACAGGTGTGTACAGGTGTGTGTGTACAGGTGTGTACAGGTGTGTGTGTACAGGTGTGTACAGGTGTGTGTGTACAGGTGTGTACAGGTGTGTGTGTACAGGTGTGTGTGTACAGGTGTGTGTGTACAGGTGTGTGTACAGGTGTGTACAGGTGAGTCTACCGACAGGTGTACACGTGCTCCGTGCGCCTGCACTGGCGACAGCGCACTGCACAGCACCAGCGGTGTGTGTACAGGTGTGTGTGTGTACAGGTGTGTGTGTGTACAGGTGTGTGTGTGTACAGGTGTGTGTGTGTACAGGTGTGTGTACAGATGCAGGCAAAGCCGATGAGTCAGATGCCTTCTATGACCTCCTGTCACAGGTGCTGGCTAAAGTGGCCCCTCGGGATAGAGTCATCATGTTGGGTGACTTCAATGCCCGAGTTGGTCATGATACTGGCACCTGGTCTGGAGTGATTGGAGGGCATGGGCCAGATCAGCTCAATAACAATGGTAGGAGGCTGCTAGATTTTTGTGCAGCCCATGGGCTTGTAATTACCAACACGCTGTTCCGGCATCGGCGCATCCACACAACATCATGGATGCATGCCGGGTCCAAGCAAGAACATCTGCTGGACTACATAGTGACGGACCAGCGAATGCGAGCCCATGTCCTTGACACCAGGACCTACCGTGGAGCTGATCTGCCCTCTGACCATCGACTAGTCATCTGTAAGATGCGCCTGCCATTCTTCCACTCCGGTGGTGGGTGTACACCCAGGACCCCATTCCAACCTAAAGTGGCCTGGTCTCAGTTATCTGATGAAAGTTGCAAGCGAGAATTTCATCATCGCTTGCGGCTGGGATTGGCATCGTCCCCGACTCCTCCTGATGTCGAGGGTAAATGGGCGAGGTTTAGGACTGTGACTCATGCAGCTGCAATGGCTGCTTTGGGTACACGGTCCAGACCTCCCCAGACACCCTGGATGACAGAGGAGTTGTTCAGGATGGTTGAGAAAAAGCGACAGGCCCACTGTCATCGGCTACAGAATCCCACGTCAGAGAATGAGGAGGCTTACCGCAGCCTTCGCTCGGAGGTTCGGAGAGCCGTGAGGCGCTGCAAGGATGGGTGGTGGTCGCGGGTTGCTGAGGAGATGGAGTCTGCCTCAGTGGCCCGTGATCACAAATCGCTATTTAACTCCATCAAAAAAGTAACCTGCAGCGCCACACCTATTACCATCATTAGGGGAAAAAACGGTGATCCAATTTCCGACCCCCAGGAACAGGTTCGCAGATTTGCTGAGCATTTCTGTGAGGTCCTGGGGGAGGGAAAATCCCACAGCCAGGAAAACATCGTGGCACAAAGTGAGGATGACCCTGCTGAGGCTGCGGTGCCTCAAATATTGGATGAAGTCACCCCCTGTGAGTGGCTGGCTGAGGTGCCATCTGCTGAGGAAGTATTGAAGGCGATCCGGAGTCTGAGACCAGGAAAGGCAGCGGGCAGAGATGATCTCCCAAGCGAAATGCTGAGGGAGGGTGGCGTTTGTGCACAGACTGCCCTATATGACATCATAACAACAGTCTGGACCACTGGACGGGTTCCGCAGGATTGGAAGGATGCCCTGGTGGTCCCCCTTTTTAAGAAGGGGGACCGCACAGACTGTAACAACTACAGGGGCATCTCACTCCTCAGTGTGCCGGGAAAGGTCCTGGCAAGGATTATTCAGCATCGCCTTGCCAGGCACGCTGAGGAGAGGCTTGCGGAGCCCCAATGCGGTTTCAGGAAAGGGCGGTCCTGCACAGATGCCATATTTTCTGTCCGTCTGCTACAGCAGAGGTGTAGGGAATTCCAACAAGACCTACATCTCTGCTTTATTGACCTGGTCAAGGCCTATGATACCATCAGTAGGCCTGGGCTCTGGGTCGTTCTTCGTGCTTTTGGAGTACCTGACCCTCTGCTCACGATCATTAAGGACCTTCATGATGGTGAGCGGGCCCGGGTAAAACTACGTGGCCAGGAGTCAGAGCCATTCCCTGTACACCTTGGGGTGCGACAGGGATGTCCTCTGGCTCCCACATTATTTAACATCTATTTTGACCACGTAGTTCGTGAAGCCTTCAATAGCTGTACCGGGGGAATCTCCATATGGTACAGATATAATGGGAGGCTAATCGATGCCCGGGTGCGGTCAAGGGATGGCTCCCTATTGCTCAACCACGTTATGTATGCTGATGACTTGGTAATAGCTGCTCAGTCAGAGGAGGAGTTGCAGACGCTGCTGCTGAGACTGGAGCGTGCCACTAAGAGGTGGGGCCTTACCATCAGCCCCACCAAAACTAAGCACCTGCCTGGGTATTTTGTACCATCGGACACTCCACCCCCACAACTCCCAATCGGTGATGGGGCAGTTGTGGAGAGAGTGGAGAGTTTCCCATACCTGGGCAGTGTGCTTATGACTGGCTCCAGTTTAACAGCAGAGGTCTCACTCCGAATCAGTCGAGCGGCAATATCTTTTCATCGGTTGCGTAACGCTGTGTGGAAGCTACCTGGTCTGTCGCTCCGCACTAAGCTTCAGGTCTTCTCGGCCACGGTCATTCCCTCCCTTCTCTACGCTTGCGAAACGTGGACCCCCCTAATGGAACATCTTCGCCGGTTAGAAACATTTAGGCTGACCTGCCTACGATCCATCCTGGGTTTAACCAGACTGGATTGTGTGAGGAGCTCACAAATCCTTGAAAGATCTGGGCAGGGTCCCATCGGTGAGCTCCTCCGGCAGGCAAGGCTGCGATGGCTGGGTCATGTAGCCCGCATGCCCAGCCACCGCATGCCGAAACAGCTTTTGTTTGGCCGGATTGAGGGGGCTAAGCGGGCGCGGCACGGGCTAGAGAAGAGATGGAGTGATGTGGTACAGGAGGACGTGGAGCTGAGTGGACTTGCCGATGACTGGTACCAGCGGTGTCAAGATCGGCCTCTGTGGAGGAGGCTCGTGAAGGATGCTACTGGGCAGTTGGAGGCAGTCGTCCTCCAACAACAACGGAGGGCGGAGGAGCGACGCTCACAACAGCGAGCGGAGCGCCGGGTGGCTAAAGCACAGCAGGTTGGCACAGTAGGGGGCACAGGTGGTGCATCAGCCAGTCATCTCAGTCATCTCAGTCAGTCGACCCGTGGCACCTGGGTCTGCCCCGTGACCTCCTGCCAGCGGGCGTTCGACACTTCACGTGGCCTCAGGGTGCACATAGCCTGGCACAAGCGTCGTGGTGACGTCACCGCCACTTAGTGGCGAATGGCGGTTGTTGTTGTTGTTGTACAGGTGTGTGTGTACAGGTGTGTGTGTGTACAGGTGTGTGTGTGTACAGGTGTGTGTGTGTACAGGTGTGTGTACAGGTGTGTGTGTACAGGTGTGTGTGTGTGTACAGGTTTGTACGGGTGTGTGTCTCTACCGACAGGTGTGTGTGTATACAGGTGTGTACAGGTGTGTACAGGTGTACACGTGCTCTGTACGCCTGCACTGCCGACAGCACACTGCACAGCACCAGCGGTGTGTGTACAGGTGTGTGTGTGTGTACAGGTGTGTACAGGTGTGTACAGGTGTGTACAGGTGAGTCTCTACCGACAGGTGTGTGTGTGTGTAGGTGTGTGTGTAGGTGTGTGTGTGTAGGTGTGTGTGTGTGTGTACAGGTGTGTGTACAGGTGTGTGTGTGTACAGGTGTGTGTGTGTACAGGTGTGTACAGGTGTGTGTGTACAGGTCTACCGACAGGTGTACACGTGCTCCGTACGCCTGCACTGGCGACATCGCACTGCACAGCACCAGCGGTTTGTGTGTACAGGTGTGTGTGTACAGGTGTGTACAGGTGTGTGTGTACAGGTGAGTCTCTACCGACAGGTGTACACGTGCTCTGTACGCCTGCACTGCCGACATCGCACTGCACAGCACCAGCGGTGTGTGTACAGGTGTGTGTGTGTGTACAGGTGTGTGTGTACAGGTGTGTACAGGTGTGTGTGTGTACAGGTGTGTGTACAGGTGTGTGTGTGTACAGGTGAGTCTCTACCGACAGGTGTACACGTGCTCTGTACGCCTGCACTGCCGACATCGCACTGCACAGCACCAGCGGTGTGTGTACAGGTGTGTGTACAGGTGTGTACAGGTGTGTGTGTACAGGTGTGTGTGTGTACAGGTGTGTGTGTACAGGTGTGTGTGTGTACAGGTGAGTCTCTACCGACAGGTGTACACGTGCTCTGTGCGCCTGCACTGCCGACATCGCACTACACAGCACCAGCGGTGTGTGTGTGTAGGTGTGTGTGTACAGGTGAGCTCCTCCGGCAGGCAAGGCTGCGATGGCTGGGTCATGTAGCCCGCATGCCCAGCCACCGCATGCCGAAACAGCTTTTGTTTGGCCGGATTGAGGGGGCTAAGCGGGCGCGGCACGGGCTAGAGAAGAGATGGAGTGATGTGGTACAGGAGGACGTGGAGCTGAGTGGACTTGCCGATGACTGGTACCAGCGGTGTCAAGATCGGCCTCTGTGGAGGAGGCTCGTGAAGGATGCTACTGGGCAGTTGGAGGCAGTCGCCCTCCAACAACAACGGAGGGCGGAGGAGCGACGCTCACAACAGCGAGCGGAGCGCCGGGTGGCTAAAGCACAGCAGGTTGGCACAGTAGGGGGCACAGGTGGTGCATCAGCCAGTCATCTCAGTCAGTCGACCCGTGGCACCTGGGTCTGCCCCGTGACCTCCTGCCAGCGGGCGTTCGACACTTCACGTGGCCTCAGGGTGCACATAGCCTGGCACAAGCGTCGTGGTGACGTCACCGCCACTTAGTGGCGAATGGCGGTTGTTGTTGTTGTTGTACAGGTGTGTGTACAGGTGTGTGTGTGTGTGTGTACAGGTGTGTGTACAGGTGTGTGTACAGGTGAGTCTCTACCGACAGGTGTACACGTGCTCCGTGCGCCTGCACTGGCGACATCGCACTGCACAGCACCAGCGGTGTGTGTGTGTACAGGTGTGTGTGTGTGTGTACAGGTGTGTACAGGTGTGTGTACAGGTGTGTGTGTGTGTGTACAGGTGAGTCTACCGACAGGTGTACACGTGCTCCGTACGCCTGCACTGCCGACATCGCACTGCACAGGACCAGCGGTGTGTGTACAGGTGTGTACAGGTGTGTGTGTACAGGTGTGTGTGTGTACAGGTGAGTCTACCGACAGGTGTACACGTGCTCCGTACGCCTGCACTGCCGACATCGCACTGCACAGGACCAGCGGTGTGTGTACAGGTGTGTACAGGTGTGTGTGTAGGTGTGTGTGTACAGGTGTGTGTGTGTACAGGTGTGTACAGGTGTGTGTGTAGGTGTGTGTGTACAGGTGTGTGCGTGTCTCTACCGACAGGTGTACACGTGCTCCGTACGCCTGCACTGGCGACATCGCACTGCACAGCACCAGCGGTGTGTGTACAGGTGTGTGTGTGTGTGTACAGGTGTGTACAGGTGTGTGTGTGTACAGGTGTGTATGTACAGGTGGGTGTGTGTGTGTACAGGTGTGTGTGTGTGTACAGGTGTGTGTGTGTGTACAGGTGTGTGTGTACAGGTGTGAACAGGTGTGTGTGTGTACAGGTGTGTGTACAGGTGTGTGTGTGTACAGGTGAGTCTCTACCGACAGGTGTACACGTGCTCTGTACGCCTGCACTGCCGACATCGCACTGCACAGCACCAGCGGTGTGTGTACAGGTGTGTGTACAGGTGTGTACAGGTGTGTGTGTACAGGTGTGTGTGTGTACAGGTGTGTGTGTACAGGTGTGTGTGTGTACAGGTGAGTCTCTACCGACAGGTGTACACGTGCTCCGTGCGCCTGCACTGGCGACATCGCACTGCACAGCACCAGCGGTGTGTGTACAGGTGTGTGTGTGTACAGGTGTGTGTGTGTACAGGTGTGTGTGTGTACAGGTGTGTACAGGTGTGTGTGTAGGTGTGTGTGTACAGGTGTGTGCGTGTCTCTACCGACAGGTGTACACGTGCTCCGTGCGCCTGCACTGGCGACATCGCACTGCACAGCACCAGCGGTGTGTGTACAGGTGTGTGTGTGTACAGGTGTGTGTGTGTACAGGTGTGTGTGTGTACAGGTGTGTGTGTGTGTGTCTCTACCGACAGGTGTGTGTGTGTACAGGTGTGTGTGTGTGTGTGTGTACAGGTGTGTACAGGTGTGTGTAGGTGTACAGGTGTGTGTGTCTCTACCGACAGGTGTGTGTGTACAGGTGTGTGTACAGGTCTACCGACAGGTGTACACGTGCTCCGTGCGCCTGCACTGGCGACATCGCACTGCACAGCACCATCGGAACTTGCAGAGGCAGCGCTCGTCCGTGACGAGGGCCCGGGCCTCGTGGCCGCGGCCGCAGCAGAGCGAGGGGCAGGCCCCGGGCCCAGCCCGGGCCCCGCCGGGCCACTCACAGCGGCGCCCCACAGTGCCGCTACAGAAGTCCGGGCTGGCGTCCACGTACACCAGCTGCTCGTCCGTGTGGGGCTGTGGTCGTGGTGGGGGGGTGGTGGTGGGGGGAGATAGTGGGGGGAGATGGTGGGGGGAGATGGTGGGGGGAGATGGTGGGTGGGGGGGTGGTGAGTTGGTGGTGAGTTGGTGGCTGGCGTCCACGTACACCAGCTGCTCGTCCGTGTGGGGCTGTCGTGGTGGGGGGGTGGTGGTGGGGGTGGTGGGGGGAGATGGTGGGGGGGTTGGTGAGTTGGTGGCTGGCGTCCACGTACACCAGCTGCTCGTCCGTGTGGGGCTGTCGTGGTGGGGGGGTGGTGGTGGTGGTGGTGGGGGGAGATGGTGGGGGGGTTGGTGAGTTGGTGGGGAGGTTGGTGAGTGGGTTTGTGAGTGGATGTTGATGGCTGGCGTCCACGTACACCAGCTGCTCGTCCGTGTGGGGCTATCGTGGTGGGGGGGTGGTGGTGGTGGGGGGGTGGTGGTGGGGGGAGATAGTGGGGGTGGTGGGGGGAGATGGTGGGGGGGTGGTGAGTTGGTGGGTGAGTTGGTGGCTGGCGTCCACGTACACCAGCTGCTCGTCCGTGTGGGGCTGTGGTCGTGGTGGTGGTGGGGGGGAGATAGTGGGGGGGAGATAGTGGGGGGGTGGTGGGTGGGGGGGGAGAGATGGTGGGGGGGGGTGGTGAGTTGGTGGGGAGGTTGGTGAGTGGGTGGGTGGTGAGTTGGTGGCTGGCGTCCACGTACACCAGCTGCTCGTCCGTGTGGGGCTGTGGTCGTGGTGGGGGGGTGGTGGTGGGGGGGAGATAGTGGGGGGGTGGTGGGGGGAGATGGTGGGGGGGGTGGTGAGTTGGTGGGTGAGTTGGTGGCTGGCGTCCACGTACACCAGCTGCTCGTCCGTGTGGGGCTGTGGTGGGGGGGTGGTGGTGGGGGGGTGGTGGGTGGGGGGGGAGATAGTGGGGGGGTGGTGGGGGGGTTGGTGAGTTGGTGGGTGAGTTGGTGGCTGGCGTCCACGTACACCAGCTGCTCGTCCGTGTGGGGCTATCGTGGTGGTGGTGGTGGGGGGGAGATAGTGGGGGGGTGGTGGGTGGGGGGTGGGTGGGTGAGTTGGTGAGTTAGTGGGGGGGTTGGTGAGTTGGTGGGTGAGTTGGTGGCTGGCGTCCACGTACACCAGCTGCTCGTCCGTGTGGGGCTATCGTGGTGGGGGGGGGGGAGATAGTGGGGGGGAGATAGTGGGGGGGGGGGTGGTGGGTGGGGGGGTGGTGGGTGGGGTGGTGGGTGGGGGGGGAGATGGTGAGTTGGTGGGTGAGTTGGTGAGTGGGTTTATGAGTGGATGTTGATGGCTGGCGTCCACGTACACCAGCTGCTCGTCCGTGTGGGGCTGTGGGGGTGGGTGGGGGGGGAGATGGTGGGGGGAGATTGTGGGGAGATGGTGGGGGGAGATGGTGGGGGGGTTGGTTAGTTGGTGGGGGATGGGTGAGTTGGTGGGGGGGTGGGTGGGTGAGTTGGTGGGGGGGGTGGCTGAGTTGGTGGGTGGGTGAGTGGGCGTGGAGGATGTCGGAGGTGGACAAAATTCATCTCTCTCTCTGTCTCTCTCCGGAGCGCGTCTCTCCCCACACCACTTCCACCCACACCACTTCCACCCACACCACCTCCACCCACCCACACTTCCACCCACACCACTTCCACCCACACCACCTCCACCCACCAACACTTCCACCCACACCACCTCCATCCACACCACCTCCACCCACACCACCTCCACCCACCCACACTTCCACCCACACCACCTCCATCTACACCACCTCCACCCACACCACCTTCACCCACACCACCTCCACCTACACCACCTCCATCCACACCACCTCCACCCACCCACACTTCCACCCACACCACCTCCACCCACACCACTTCCACCCACACCACCTCCACCCACCCACACTTCCACCCACACCACCTCCACCCACACCACTTCCACCCACACCACCTACACCTCCACCCACACCTCCACCCACACCACCTCCACCCACCCACCCACACTTCCACCCACCCACACCTCCACCCACCCACCCACACCACTTCCACCCACACTTCTTCCACCCACCTTGAAGTGTGCGTGCCTGGCCAGCAGGTGGTGTCGCGTGCCCACCCACCCACACCTCCACCCACACCACCTCCACCCACACCTCCACCCACCCACACCTCCACCCACACCACCTCCACCCACACCTCCACCCACACCACTTCCACCCACACCACCTCCACCCACGCCACCTCCACCCACCTTGAAGTGTGCGTGCCTGGCCAGCAGGTGGTGCCGCGTGTCTCTCCCCACACCACCCACTCCACCTCCACCCACCCACACCTCCACCCACACCTCCACCCACCCACACCTCCACCCACACCTCCTCCACCCACCCACACTTCCACCCACACCTCCTCCACCCACCCACACCTCCACCCACCCACACTTCCACCCACACCTCCTCCACCCACCCACACTTCCACCCACACCTCCACCCACACCACTTCCACCCACACTTCTTCCACCCACCTTGAAGTGTGCGTGCCTGGCCAGCAGGTGGTGTCGCGTGTCTCTCCCCACACCACCCACACCACCTCCACCCACCCACCCACACTTCCACCCACCCCTCCACCCACCCACCCACACTTCCACCCACACCACCTCCACCCACCTTGAAGTGTGCGTGCCTGGCCAGCAGGTGGTGCCGCGTGCCCACGCGCCCCACCCGAACCTCCACCCACCCACACCTCCACCCACACCTCCACCCACACCTCCTCCACCCACCCACACCTCCACCCACACCACTTCCACCCACACCACCTCCACCCACCTTGAAGTGTGCGTGCCTGGCCAGCAGGTGGTGTCGCGTGTCTCTCCCAACACCACCCACACCACTTACACCCACCCACACTTCCACCCACCCACACCTCCACCCACCCACACCTCCACCCACACCACTTCCACCCACACCACCTCCACCCACCTTGAAGTGTGCGTGCCTGGCCAGCAGGTGGTGTCGCGTGTCTCTCCCAACACCACCCACACCACTTACACCCACCCACACTTCCACCCACCCACACCTCCACCCACCCACACCTCCACCCACCCACACCTCCACCCACACCTCCTCCACCCACCCACACTTCCACCCACACTTCCACCCACACTTCCACCCACACTTCCACCCACACTTCTTCCACCCACCTTGAAGTGTGCGTGCCTGGCCAGCAGGTGGTGCCGCGTGCCCACGCGCCCCACCCGAACCTCCACGGCGCCGTCGTAGGCGTCACGGAGCGAGGCGGCCACGACGCGGAGTGGGGACAGGGAACGCCAGCAGGTGCGGACCTCGCAGGAGCCCGAGAGGCCGTGGCAACGACACTCCACACGCACGTGACTCACCACGGCCTGTGTGGGGGGTCACGTGGGGAGTCACGTGGGGTAGGGGAGTCACGTGGGGACAGGGAACGCCAGCAGGTGCGGACCTCGCAGGAGCCCGAGAGGCCGTGGCAACGACACTCCACACGCACGTGACTCACCACGGCCTGTGTGGGGGTCACGTGGTGGAGGGGAGTCACGTGGGGACAGGGAACGCCAGCAGGTGCGGACCTCGCAGGAGCCCGAGAGGCCGTGGCAACGACACTCCACACGCACGTGACTCACCACGGCCTGGGGGGGGGGTCACGTGGGGAGTCACGTGGGGGAGAGAGAGTCACGTGGGGACAGGGAACGCCAGCAGGTGCGGACCTCGCAGGAGCCCGAGAGGCCGTGGCAACGACACTCCACACGCACGTGACTCACCACGGCCTGCGTGGGGGGTCACGGGGGGAGTCACGTGGGGTAGGGGAGTCACGTGGGGACAGGGAACGCCAGCAGGTGCGGACCTCGCAGGAGCCCGAGAGGCCGTGGCAACGACACTCCACACGCACGTGACTCACCACGGCCTGTGTGGGGGGTCACGTGGGTGAGGGGGAGAGTCACGTGGGGTAGGGGAGTCACGTGGGGACAGGGAACGCCAGCAGGTGCGGACCTCGCAGGAGCCCGAGAGGCCGTGGCAACGACACTCCACACGCACGTGACTCACCACGGCCTGCGTGGGGGGTCACGTGGGGAGTCACGTGGGGTAGGGGAGTCACGTGGGGACAGGGAACGCCAGCAGGTGCGGACCTCGCAGGAGCCCGAGAGGCCGTGGCAACGACACTCCACACGCACGTGACTCACCACGGCCTGTGTGGGGGTCACGTGGTGGAGGGGAGTCACGTGGGGACAGGGAACGCCAGCAGGTGCGGACCTCGCAGGAGCCCGAGAGGCCGTGGCAACGACACTCCACACGCACGTGACTCACCACGGCCTGTGTGGGGGGTCACGTGGGGAGTCACGTGGGAGAGAGAGAGTCACGTGGGGACAGGGAACGCCAGCAGGTGCGGACCTCGCAGGAGCCCGAGAGGCCGTGGCAACGACACTCCACACGCACGTGACTCACCACGGCCTGCGTGGGGGGTCACGTGGGGAGTCACGTGGGGTAGGGGAGTCACGTGGGGACAGGGAACGCCAGCAGGTGCGGACCTCGCAGGAGCCCGAGAGGCCGTGGCAACGACACTCCACACGCACGTGACTCACCACGGCCTGTGTGGGGGGTCACGTGGGTGAGGGGGAGAGTCACGTGGGGTAGGGGAGTCACGTGGGGACAGGGAACGCCAGCAGGTGCGGACCTCGCAGGAGCCCGAGAGGCCGTGGCAACGACACTCCACACGCACGTGACTCACCACGGCCTGTGTGGGGGGTCACGTGGGGAGTCACGTGGGGTAGGGGAGTCACGTGGGGACAGGGAACGCCAGCAGGTGCGGACCTCGCAGGAGCCCGAGAGGCCGTGGCAACGACACTCCACACGCACGTGACTCACCACGGCCTGTGTGGGGGGTCACGTGGGGAGTCACGTGGGGTAGGGGAGTCACGTGGGGACAGGGAACGCCAGCAGGTGCGGACCTCGCAGGAGCCCGAGAGGCCGTGGCAACGACACTCCACACGCACGTGACTCACCACGGCCTGCGTGGGGGGTCACGTGGTGGAGGGGGAGTCACGTGGGAGAGAGAGAGTCACGTGGGGACAGGGAACGCCAGCAGGTGCGGACCTCGCAGGAGCCCGAGAGGCCGTGGCAACGACACTCCACACGCACGTGACTCACCACGGCCTGCGTGGGGGGTCACGTGGGTGAGGGGGAGAGTCACGTGGGGTAGGGGAGTCACGTGGGGAGTCACGTGGGGACAGGGAACGCCAGCAGGTGCGGACCTCGCAGGAGCCCGAGAGGCCGTGGCAACGACACTCCACACGCACGTGACTCACCACGGCCTGTGTGGGGGGTCACGTGGTGGAGGGGGAGAGTCACGTGGGAGAGAGAGAGTCACGTGGGGACAGGGAACGCCAGCAGGTGCGGACCTCGCAGGAGCCCGAGAGGCCGTGGCAACGACACTCCACACGCACGTGACTCACCACGGCCTGCGTGGGGGGTCACGTGGGGAGTCACGTGGGGTAGGGGAGTCACGTGGGGACAGGGAACGCCAGCAGGTGCGGACCTCGCAGGAGCCCGAGAGGCCGTGGCAACGACACTCCACACGCACGTGACTCACCACGGCCTGTGTGGGGGGTCACGTGGGGAGTCACGTGGTGGAGGGAGAGTCACGTGGGGGAGGGGGAGTCACGTGGTGGAGGGGGGAGTCAAGTGGTGGAGGGAGAGTCACGTGGTGGAGGGGGGAGTCACGTGGTGGAGGGGGGAGTCACGTGGTGGAGGGGGGAGTCACGTGGTGGAGGGGGAGTCACGTGGTGGAGGGGGGAGTCACGTGGTGGAGGGGGGAGTCCAGTGGTGGAGGGGGGAGTCAAGTGGTGGAGGGGGGAGTCACGTGGGGGAGGGGGAGTCACGTGGGGACAGGGCACGCCAGCAGTTACGCTGTGACCCGCCCCCTCGCTCACTGGTACCCGCCCCCTCACTCGCTGTGACCCGCCCCCTGGCTCGCTGGTACCCGCCCCCTGGCTCGCTGGTACCCGCCCCCTCACTCGCTGGTACCCGCCCCCTAACTCGCTGGTACCCCGCCCCCTCACTCACTGGTACCCGCCCCCTCGCACGCTGGTACCCGCCCCCTGGCTCGCTGGTACCCGCCCCCTCACTCGCTGGTACCCGCCCCCTTACTCACTGGTACCCGCCCCCTCACTCACTGGTACCCGCCCCCTCGCACGCTGGTACCCGCCCCCTCGCTCGCTGGTACCCGCCCCCTCGCTCGCTGGTACCCGCCCCCTCACTCGCTGTGACCCGCCCCCTGGCTCGCTGGTACCCGCCCCCTCACTCGCTGGTACCCGCCCCCTTACTCACTGGTACCCGCCCCCTCACTCGTTGTGACCCGCCCCCTGGCTCGCTGGTACCCGCCCCCTCACTCGCTGGTACCCGCCCCCTCACTCGCTGTGACCCGCCCCCTGGCTCGCTGGTACCCGCCCCCTCACTCGCTGGTACCCGCCCCCTTACTCACTGGTACCCGCCCCCTCACTCACTGGTACCCGCCCCCTCACTCGCTGGTACTCGTGGGTACTTGTGGGTGCTCGTGGGTACTTGTGGGTACTCGCTGGTACTTGTGGGTACTCGCTGGTACTCGTGGGTACTTGTGGGTACTCGCTGGTACTCGTGGGTACTTGTGGGTACTCGTGGGTACTTGTGGGTACTCGCTGGTACTCGTGGGTACCTTGCGACCGGCCTCGTTGTTGTGCAGGTTCATGAGAGACCGTGCTGAGGACCCCCGACTTCGCTCGGTCGCGTCCACGAAGCTCCTGGACAGCGCCACCCCCAGCACCACGTTATCAGAGCAGCCTGACCACGTGAAGCCTGCAGTAGACACACACAGTACACACACACAGTACACACACAGTACACACAGCACCACGTTATCAGAGCAGCCTGACCACGTGAAGCCTGCAGTACACACACAGTACACACACAGTACACACACAGTACACACACACAGTACACACAGCACCACGTTATCAGAGCAGCCTGACCACGTGAAGCCTGCAGTACACACACACAGTACACACACACAGTACACACAGTACACACAGCACCACGTTATCAGAGCAGCCTGACCACGTGAAGCCTGCAGTACACACACACACAGTACACACACAGTACACACACACAGTACACACACAGTACACACAGCACCACGTTATCAGAGCAGCCTGACCACGTGAAGCCTGCAGTACACACACACAGTACACACACACAGTACACACACACAGTACACACACAGTACACACACAGTACACACACAGTACACACAGCACCACGTTATCAGAGCAGCCTGACCACGTGAAGCCTGCAGTACACACACACACAGTACACACAGTACACACACAGTACACACACAGTACACACAGTACACACACAGTACACACACACAGTACACACACAGTACACACAGCACCACGTTATCAGAGCAGCCTGACCACGTGAAGCCTGCAGTACACACACACAGTACACACACAGTACACACACAGTACACACAGTACACACACACAGTACACACAGCACCACGTTATCAGAGCAGCCTGACCACGTGAAGCCTGCAGTACACACACAGAGTACACACACACAGTACACACAGTACACACACACAGTACACACACACAGTACACACAGTACACACACACAGTACACACACAGTACACACACACAGTACACACACAGTACACACACACAGTACACACAGTACACACACAGTACACACAGCACCACGTTATCAGAGCAGCCTGACCACGTGAAGCCTGCAGTACACACACACAGTACATACAGTACACACACAGTACACACACAGTACACACAGCACCACGTTATCAGAGCAGCCTGACCACGTGAAGCCTGCAGTACACACACACAGTACACACACACAGTACACACACAGTACACACAGCACCACGTTATCAGAGCAGCCTGACCACGTGAAGCCTGCAGTACACACACACAGTACACACACACAGTACACACACAGTACACACAGCACCACGTTATCAGAGCAGCCTGACCACGTGAAGCCTGCAGTACACACACACACAGTACACACACAGTACACACACACAGTACACACACAGTACACACACAGTACACACACACAGTACACACACAGTACACACAGTACACACACAGTACACACAGCACCACGTTATCAGAGCAGCCTGACCACGTGAAGCCTGCAGTACACACACACACAGTACACACACAGTACACACACACAGTACACACACAGTACACACACAGTACACACAGCACCACGTTATCAGAGCAGCCTGACCACGTGAAGCCTGCAGTACACACACACAGTACACACACACAGTACACACACACAGTACACACACACAGTACACACACACAGTACACACACACAGTACACACACACAGTACACACACACAGTACACACAGCACCACGTTATCAGAGCAGCCTGACCACGTGAAGCCTGCAGTACACACACACAGTACACACACACACAGTACACACACAGGACACACACAGTACACACACACTACACACACACACACAGTACACACACAGTACACACACACAGTACACACAGTACACACACAGTACACACAGTACACACACAGTACACACACAGTACACACACAGTACACACAGTACACACACAGTACACACACAGTACACACACACAGTACACACAGTACACACACACAGTACACACAGCACCACGTTATCAGAGCAGCCTGACCACGTGAAGCCTGCAGTACACACACACAGTACACACACAGTACACACAGCACCACGTTATCAGAGCAGCCTGACCACGTGAAGCCTGCAGTACACACACACAGTACACACACACAGTACACACACACAGTACACACACAGTACACACACACACAGTACACACACACAGTACACACAGTACACACACACAGTACACACACACAGTACACACACACAGTACACACATAGTACACACACACAGTACACACAGTACACACAGAGTACACACACAGTACACACACAGTACACACACACAGTACACACAGTACACACACACAGTACACACACAGTACACACAGCACCACGTTATCAGAGCAGCCTGACCACGTGAAGCCTGCAGTACACACACACAGTACACACACACAGTACACACACACACAGTACACACACAGTACACACACACAGTACACACAGTACACACACACAGTACACACACACAGTACACACAGCACCACGTTATCAGAGCAGCCTGACCACGTGAAGCCTGCAGTACACACACACAGTACACACATAGTACACACACAGTACACACACAGCACACACACAGTACACACAGTACACACACAGTACACACACACAGTACACACACAGTACACACACAGTACACACAGTACACACACAGTACACACAGTACACACACAGTACACACACAGTACACACACAGTACACACAGTACACACACAGTACACACACACAGTACACACACACAGTACACACAGCACCACGTTATCAGAGCAGCCTGACCACGTGAAGCCTGCAGTACACACACACAGTACACACACAGTACACACACAGTACACACAGTACACACACACAGTACACACACAGTACACACACACAGTACACACACAGTACACACACAGTACACACAGTACACACACACAGTACACAAACAGTACACACACAGTACACACACAGTACACACAGTACACACACAGTACACACACAGTACACACAGTACACACACAGTACACACAGTACACACACACAGTACACACAGCACACACACACAGTACACACACAGTACACACAGCACCACGTTATCAGAGCAGCCTGACCACGTGAAGCCTGCAGTACACACACACAGTACACACACAGTACACACACAGTACACACACACAGTACACACAGTACACACACAGTACACACAGCACCACGTTATCAGAGCAGCCTGACCACGTGAAGCCTGCAGTACACACACACAGTACACACACAGTACACACAGTACACACACAGTACACACAGTACACACACAGTACACACACAGTACACACACACAGTACACACACAGTACACACAGCACCACGTTATCAGAGCAGCCTGACCACGTGAAGCCTGCAGTACACACACACAGTACACACACAGTACACACAGTACACACACACAGTACACACACAGTACACACAGTACACACACAGTACACACAGTACACACACACAGTACACACAGCACACACACACAGTACACACACACAGTACACACACAGTACACACAGCACCACGTTATCAGAGCAGCCTGACCACGTGAAGCCTGCAGTACACACACACAGTACACACACAGTACACACACAGTACACACACACAGTACACACAGTACACACAGCACCACGTTATCAGAGCAGCCTGACCACGTGAAGCCTGCAGTACACACACACAGTACACACACAGTACACACAGTACACACACAGTACACACAGTACACACACAGTACACACACAGTACACACACACAGTACACACACAGTACACACAGCACCACGTTATCAGAGCAGCCTGACCACGTGAAGCGTGCAGTACACACACAGTACACACACAGTACACACACACACACAGTACACACACAGTACAGACAGTACACACACAGTACACACACAGTACACACAGTACACACACAGTACACACACACACAGTACACACACAGTACACACAGTACACACACATTACACACACACATTACACACACAGTACACACACAGTACACACACATTACACACACACAGTACACACACAGTACACACACAGTACACACACAGTACACACACACAGTACACACAGTACACACACAGTACACACAGCACCACGTTATCAGAGCAGCCTGACCACGTGAAGCCTGCAGTACACACACACAGTACACACAGTACACACACACAGTACACACAGTACACACACAGTACACACAGTACACACACAGTACACACAGTACACACACAGTACACACACACAGTACACACACACAGCACACACACAGTACACACAGTACACACACAGTACACACAGCACCACGTTATCAGAGCAGCCTGACCACGTGAAGCCTGCAGTACACACACACAGTACACACACAGTACACACAGTACACACACAGTACACACAGTACACACACAGTACACACACAGTACACACAGTACACACACAGTACACACACACAGTACACACAGTACACACACAGTACACACAGCACCACGTTATCAGAGCAGCCTGACCACGTGAAGCCTGCAGTACACACACACAGTACACACACACAGCACACACACAGTACACACACACAGTACACACACAGTACACACACAGCACACACAGTACACACACACAGTACACACACACAGTACACACAGCACCACGTTATCAGAGCAGCCTGACCACGTGAAGCCTGCAGTACACACACACAGTACACACATAGTACACACACAGTACACACACACAGTACACACATAGTACACACACAGTACACACACAGTACACACATAGTACACACACAGTACACACACAGTACACACATAGTACACACACACAGTACACACACAGTACACACAGTACACACACAGTACACACACAGTACACACAGTACACACACAGTACACACAGTACACACACAGTACACACACAGTGCACACAGTACACACACAGTACACACACAGTACACACAGCACCACGTTATCAGAGCAGCCAGACCACGTGAAGCCTGCAGTACACACACACAGTACACACACAGTACACACACAGTACACACAGTACACACACAGTACACACACAGTACACACAGTACACGCACAGTACACACAGTACACACACAGTACA